ATTGCTTCTCTATCTTTTATTACAACAAATAATCTACTATGTATATATTGAAAACATATGGAAAAGTTTATAAAAGAGAATATTCCAGAGGTGATGATATATGAGAAGGGAAAATCATCTGTGAAATATCAAGAGAAAAAACAATTATCTATAGATCGAAGGATAGAAAAGAAGAACGAAAGAAAAAACCTATCACACATATTGAATAGTCAGGGAAAATAAAATGAATGACAATAGAATAACAGGAAAGCAAAAAAAGCACCAGAGAGTAGAGAACATGCTACTACCTAACAACCCGTCTTTCAAGCAACGAATGAGTTCATAAATACTTAGATGAGAAGGCGTGATATTCAATATTTGACTTCGCAGCCTAATCAGGAATCGTTGAGGAAAGGATCGATTTTGAAGTTCATTCAAGTACAATCAATTCATTTTGGGATGAATCTAAAAATAATTAGTAGAACTGATTTTCAGAAATACTAGCTGATGACATTATTCAATCAATTATTATATTATTAAAAGCTATTGGACGGTATCCAAAAAATTAGTTATGCTAAGTTTCTATCAAGCGTATTGAATGAAACATTGAATATTTAGTAAGTCTTAGATTCCGAATAGTGACATTATTTTTTTCCATATTATCATTTTCTCAGAAAATCATTTATCACTGAAAATGGAGCATGTGTACAAGTATGAATATCTTTTGTTGTTCAAGTCGAATGGATGCATTTTTTGAGAGAAATATCACTCTAAAAAATAAATATATAATATTTTGACTTGATTGGCCACTCATTCCATAATTCAATGTCGATATATCTGTTGTGTTCTTTCGTTTCTTCTTGCTTGGTAATTGTGACGTAGCTAGAAATTAGCCGATAGGAAAAAGCTCTTTTTCGTGTAACTTATGGCTGGTAGCCTAAATCTTATGATGTGATTTAACTATACGATTACTTGACGTGTTTCTCGAGTTTAGCGGCCACAATTCTATTTGTATATATATTAATTCGATAGTCAAAAATATGGAAGAATCAATTCATGTGAGTCTATTAAAATGATGGAAAGCCCATGCTAAATAGTAAATACTAAGACTTATCTAAAAAAAATGTTGCTTTATATTTAATAACTTCGATATAAAATCGTTCTAATACGAAAAACACAAGGAAAACTATAATCTTACCAAATAAAATTGCCATTTAGCTTGTTTTCATTTATAACTTCTTGCGCATATTTGATAACAAGGTAAATAAGCAGATATGGAATTAAAGCCGCAAAAATATTACCAATCTTTCTAATCTATGGCAGTTTATTAAGCGTCAGAAAGTATCATCGAAATAGAAGAATGTGTAATTTTTAATGATGTTTTTTCAAACATTGTCATAGAGCAGATCAATCTGTTGTAACTCTTTTCTAGAACTTTCAATTCAATTGAGTAAGAGCTAAATGAATTAAAATCATATCACTGTTCATTGATCTTGTCTAGACTCTAAAATTTAAACAAACATTAGTAGATAATGTATAATAGTAGAAAGCATATTCGTATTGAAAAAATGAATGTTGTGAAAGATTTTTTACGATTCACTGACACATAGATAATCGACGAGTGTTTTCTCTTGCTTGATCCTTGACTGAAAGATCAAGTGTTGGTATATTCTATTCAATCTTGAAAATAACTAGAATTATAATAGTAATTGAGAATAGAACTAGAATCTTCATCCATTGCTTTACAATACATATATTTTTGTATTTGTAGATGACTACCTAAACTCATATATTGGCATCAATGCAGTTTGAGAAGTTTTTTATTTGTTTTTGAATCAATTTGAAGTGCCAGTATTCAACTGACAGATATGAAAATAGCTAAATCATGAGCATTCTAATCTTCTTTAACTCATAAATAGCTTCATCGAAAGATACAGTCTTCTATTATACAAAGGCAATATGATGAGATCAGTTGTTTTCTATTACAAGAATGTGTTTATATTCATGCTCGCCTGTACAATATGCAGTTTGAACAGAGTATTTCTATACTAAGGTATCGAATAAAAGTGTTGGTGACAGTTGTCATTATTGCAATTTTCATAACTATCATTTCCATTGAATTCAAGGATCGATATACTTGTGTTATCCATAAAAGAATTGAATATCAGCTGCACTTTTGTATTATAGCTAAGAACGTTTAAGGTGCCAGAAATGCAAAATTAAACAAGATATTTTTTCTTATTTTTATATGTGGTTCGATAGAGCTTAATGAGTTGATCAAGAATATGTGTATTTTCAGTTATTACAAATGAGTTTTTAGCGTAAGAAATTCTCAGTTTTTTTTTCTGTAGAAAACTTCAATTTTCAGTAACCGACAATTTTTTTATTTGTTTCAGAATCAGCATGAAAAACAAATTCTAGTTGATGGCTTTCCTTGATTTAGGTTCTCATGCTAAATCTGAAAAAAAAAAGTTTTAAAATTTCAAGAAAATTAAATAGACATCCATTTCTGATATCTTAACTATAGTGCTGCTTGCTATTATAATCAATCGACTAGTAATTATTTTTTTTCTTATCAAGGTAACTATTCTATTACGAACGATGGTTTTTTTTTGTCTAATACCAGTTATCATCATGATTGCAGCAAGTCTTTGAATGTTGCACAATAAAATCATCAACCTCATCATCATTTTGCTAATGGGAAAACAACGAGTCTTGCAATTAGTAGTGTAGATCTATCAATAAAAAGTACCGATTGATTCATTTGTCAACGAACATCAACAATAGATCGTATGCTCTTCTATATGATGATAACTAACGTTATTATATTGATATTACACAAATTCTATGTCATTTTAACGAGTAATATAAATTTATATTCAAGTATTATATATAAATATTTATTTATTAATATATGAAATATTATTATTATGGTCGAATATTTATTTTCGTATGACATTTTATTTATATTATTTTGTAAAAAATTTATTGAGATAAGGATTATTTTTTTGTTTTTGTTTATAAAATTATTGTCTTATACAAATTCTATCTAGTATTTTTTTTTTAATCAATACTTCATAAAAAATTTTCCACACAAGATATAAAACGATGTTAAAACAATAAAAACAAACGATAAAACAAATTGATTATGTTTTGAATATTCTTTGACGATTACGATTGATAATTATCAAAATATTCTCAAAACTATTGCTCACTCTTTTATTATTCTATATAGATCTAACATCATTTAAAATAATCTAAGATGTTCATGAAAACTTTTTTTTCGTTTAATTCACCAAAATATTACATATTTTTATTTTTTATAAATTCAAGAAATCCTTCTAAGAAAGAGTATAGAAATGGTTTCATAAATGTACCATCTTCTACAAATTAAATTAAGCAAAAAGTTAACTTCAAGTAATTGATTTTCTCTCTTGTATTATTCATTTCTATCTTCATTGGAATCAATAAATCATAAAGGACTAATCATCGCCAATGAATGAATTTTGTTGAGTGATCTACCTAGAAAATTTATTGATTTTTCTTCAAGTATTTATTTGCTACATAAATTGAATCGATTTGAACATTTCTTTCTCTAACTAATAGTTGAAGTTAAATTCCATGAACTCACACTTCCTCCGAACACAGACAGATAATGGCTTAGATAAAATTAAAATAAATTCTGAGAATCATTCATAGAATATATATGCATATTGCGTTTGTGATCGGAATAACAAAAAAACAGTGAACTAATCAGGTTTTAACTTAATGAAATAGTCAATGTGAAGATCAAATAAATGCAGTGAAAAGATAGAAACATAGCAAAGTTATTAGCACAAATCTAAATAGGGTCGAACAATGACACCGACATATGGTTCTTGATTTTAATATTGGAATACAAATTATGTTATCTATCTCAAACATGTAATGTTTTTATTTTATACTCTTTTGTTGACGATAGGCGTAGTTATCATGACATTTATTTGCTGTGTTTTTTTGGTTCTACTTTAATTATTTTGTTATTCTCATCCTTTCTTTTTCTTTTTAAAGTATTATCTGTCATAAGAAAAAAACAATGTATCATTATTAGTTTAATTTTTAGACTATGGTAAGATTAAAAAGATGTCATTTGAAATAATTACAAAGTAGTAAAGAAGAATCATATTGTCTCGATGAAATAAAAAGCTTATTTAAAAATCATACTCTCTATTAGTATTAATAGAATTCTGTATAAACAAAATTTTGTTGTTGTTAAAAGAAAATTACAATTTAAATTATTATTATTCTAATATTTATTAATAATTTTTTATTTCAAATATACATTACAAGACTTACATATAAAATACATGATTTTAATAACATGTATTTGATATGCGTAATATGATACATTTTTTATTCATATATTTTAATATATCAAACCACTTAAAAGCAAAGCAGGGTCTGATAAATTATTTTAAGCTATTCAAAATATAGTAAATTATTGTCAATAAGAATCTAGACAAAAAAAAAATATATATTTACTGATATAGCTCTTGAATTTGTAATATATTTAAATTTCTTTGTTAATATTTTTTATCGATACATATTTTTGTGCAGCATCTCACATATTAGAAAAAAAAAACACAACGTATAAGGGCGTCGTTGTAAGATGAATAGTAAAACGAATCAAAATTCGATAAGTGTTGCCTTTACATGTTCTTTGACAAAAAAAAAAAACGTTATTTTTACACTCAATTAGAACCAAATCTGTTTACCAAGAAATTATGGCATGTTCGTTTCGATATTTACTCGATAATATACTTTTCTTGGCATATTCTTCAAAAATCATACTCAAAAAGAGGAAGAAAATAAAAACGATGAAAAAAATAGTGCCTATCAACTTGGTTAATTAGTCATCTATGGAAAAAGAGAAAGCAAAAAAAAAAAAAAAGAAGGAAGAGCGACGAGAAATGCACTTTTGTTTTTTTAAATAAAACAGTTTTCACTTTATAACAAGAAGACTTTCATATTTGCTTCTCAAAATGAATAATCATGTATTTCAAATCATTATTTTTGTATTTGTGAATTTTGCACAAATTCATAGCGAGACAACTTCTGATAGTACATCAATCACTAGCATGATGACCACATCGGCATCGGATTCTAGTACTTCATCGATTACGACAAATACAGCATCAACTTTATCTTCTATATTATATCCAGATTCTACGATAACGAGTCTCTCTTCATCATCATATTCAATGTCTACTCCTATCTCATCAACAATAACGACTTCTTTGACATACACAATTTCAGTGACTATAAATAACTCGCAAGGATATTCTTCTCCATTACCTACATCAACTAGTTTTTTTAATACAACGTCTGAAACAATAACTTATTCAACAGGTAATATGTCAACAATTTGTATAATCAATATATTTTTTCCTTTTTTCTTTTATATTTATAATAGTTAATTTAACTTACAAATATGTTGTGGGAAGTTCATCTCCTTTAAGGACAGGAGATATTACTAATGCTACAGTTTTAACAAGTGTACAACAAATGGTACGTATATTGTGATTTCAAAAAGAAGATTTCAATCAATCTATATAGGTTGTTTCTTCATTCAATCTAACAAACCGTAATGTTACTATTACAGTCATACGTATTGAAATTCGATCTATATCAAAGTATTTTATAATGTTAAATTTTGAAATAAAGATTTCTTTTTTCTTTTTAATAATCAATAGAGCTGATAATTATATATATGATATGATCACTGATATATCATTCAAAAGTAGTAGTACTAATTGTGATATAACTTGTATCAAACAATCTGCATTATCATCTGTATCAGCACAAAATTTTACACTATTTGATACAAATAATTCTTCAATAACTGTAGTTCCTCAATCAAGTCCAATATTAATAAATAGTACGTTTATTTCAATTGATTGTAAATCAATTCACTGTTTATTATAATAGATACGGCACCTGTAACAACAACACCTATAAATTATCAAAAAGGTAATAAAATATACTATAAAATATATTACACATTTGTTTTCTTAGGTGAATCACCACCTGGTGTTGCAGCACAATTAGGTATGGGCATTAGCATAACAATAATTGGCATCATACTTATCGGTGAAATAATATTTTTCTATCGAAAATATGGATTGAATGGACCAATGCGTCAGTCAAATTATGCATTACCTACCTTTCAAAGTTGACTATTGATTTGAATGTATAATGATTTATATTGCGATAATTTTGTTGTAATCATTTCTTTTTTTTTCTCATTTAATATAGAAACAAAAAAAAAGAAAAAAGATTAATGACTATTTAAATATTTAGTTTTCATTTATTATTATCTACATAGTTTTTATTCATTTGAGCAAATGTCTAATTCAACGTCTCGTATACTTACAAAACAAGAAATAGCTATACCAGCTATTCTCGGAACAATTTTTTATATAGGTGGTTTTATAGGAAATCTTTTATCATTGACAATTTTTATTCGTACTGAAATACGTCGAGTATCAACTGGATTACTTTTTTTATTATTAACTATATCAAATAGTATTCAATTATTAACATTAATTGTTGAGTTTATTGATGTTGCTTATAATGGTAAGCAATATCATATATTTTATATAGTACAAAGAAAAAAAACAAGATGACAGATATTCAAACAGTAGAAATTTTTCTAACTGATAAATGTTATGAAAGATTTATAAGTTTGCTGATTTATTCAGATCAGTAATGTTTTTTTTTTAGTAACAGGATATCAGAAATAATATTTAAAAATTAGTTTAATACAAAATTTTTAATTGATCGATTATTTTTGAATTCAGATTTTGTGCGTAAAGTAGACGAGTGTGATATATGAAAAACTTCAAATTGATAAATGCTTTTAGGCATTCTGTTTAGGATTATAAGTATTTTACTGTAATTTTAGCCTCAGGTATTATAAATACCAAGAAATCGAACGATGATATTTCGACCTGAGATTTTGTCCGTAGATGAAACTCTTTGGCAATAGAACACGCTGAAAATTTCATTTCAAAAAAATATTTTCTTCTCAAAAATCACTCGTATTGCATTAAAGATGTTAGAGTTTTATGTTGTTCGAAACTTTAATATCTTGGAAAGAAAATATTTTTTTTTGAGTTGAAATTTTCAGAATACTCTACTCATAAAATAGATCTCTCTATGGACAAAATGTTAGATCAAAATATCGTCATTCGATTTGTTCGTATTTACAATGACAGAGACTAAAAGTCTAGTAAAATATTTATAATCCTGAACAATAGCTCTATGGGCACTTACACTTTTGAGATTTTCATATTTCACTGAACTCTCCTTGATGTACTGGTTCCGAACTCAAAAACAATAGATCATTTGAAAACGCTCTCTTGTAGGTATTTTATCTATATCTTTCGAAGACTTTATGGATATGACGATAAATCAAACTTTAATCTTGAATTGAATATTTTTCATGAAGTGTTTAAAGAACATTGTAATGTTTTGATAAATATTAAAAAAAAACAAAATCTCTTTATGACTTTTAAACTCATCTTATTATAAAATAAAAATGAAATCTTTTTAATATTAAAATTTATTTTATCTCTTATTTTAGTTCGATTATTTCATTCTGTATTAATTCGTTGTCGTATTATTTATTGGCTTCAAAATGTTTTTCGTTCATTAAGTTCATTTATTGCTTGTACAATTAGTTTCGATCGTATGTTTCGTGCTGTTTATCCAACACGTGCTAAACATTTTTGTACATGTCGATTAGTATATCGAATTGTTTTTATTTATACACTTATATTTACATTTTCTCTAGCATTTTATTTATTTCCACATATGAAAGAAGATTCTCAAGGAATTTGTTCAACAGAACTTAATCCAGTCTATCATATGTTTATGACAAGTATATGGCCACCTATTCGTACTTTTTTTGTTTGTATTCTTCCTGTATCAATAATGCTTATAGCAAATATTCGATTATGGCGTCGTATACGAGCATCAAAACGTCGTGTTGCTCCTCATACATCAAATCATGTTCATTCAACAAATACAGAAACAATGCTTCTATTTATAGCAATGTCTAATGTTTTAGCATTTATTATAACACAAATTCCATTTCATATATATACAATTATTGTACATTATAAACCATCAATTGTTTATGTACGTACAATAATGCTTCTTTGGAGTAGTCTTTATTTTGGTATTGGTTTTTATGTATATTCATTAACATCAAGTTATTTTCGTTCCAAATTTACTTCAACAATATATATGTGTTTAAAAAAGAAAAATACAATTATTATTCGACAAAATACAATATCACAACGTGTGCCAAATAAAATATAATTATGTTAATGACAATTTTCGAAATAGAGTTGCTAAAGATAGTAATCTGTTTTCATGTAAATATATATTTGAAAGAATTATTAGTTTTTAAATAAAAGAAAAAAATAATCATTATCTATTTTGTGGATATTGTTTTCGTAAAAGCAACAACAGATGGTTTAACTTATTTATTCGCAAATAAGAATCTATTACAATTAATATATAATAGATAAGAGAACTAAAATAGTTTATATTAATGGATGAAATACTAATTGCCTTTGTTGTTGCTAATTCACTGAATACGGAAATAGTGATGGAGACAGATGGTAGTTGAAAAAGGGTTCACTCTCTTTCCATTGCACAGTGTGTTTTTTTGACATGGAAGGCGAATATGTGACATTCTTGCTCAAAAATAATTGGATATGAAATAGAAAAAACATTTTTTGGAAAATCCATTGTGCAGTTCAGCTATGCTTGTAATAAAAAACGATTAGAGACAGTAGATTGAAGAATATTTTCGCAAAGTTGAATTGTTTATTTTACGAGACTATCCGGTCGGATGATACTATAGAAAAAAAATTATTTTCTCAGAAGTTAAAGAAGCATATCAAAAAATATGTATTTTTAGCATTTTGTAGAACTCGATTTTCTCTATTGATATTAATTTTCTTGGTGACATTTTGATTTTAAGACTGATTTTTAGGCAACTATTTTTTCAGTCTGTTTGAGAATACTCTAATAAAGTTATTTATACCATTAGGTAGACTTTATTTTGAAGTGTTTTTTTTCTATATTTAAATCTTGAAAAAGCATGATTTTCATTTTTACTCAAATATCCGCCTAAATGAACGTCATGCCCTCTCCCGGAAATTTGAGTAAGCTCTTTTTTGGTTTTGAATGGAAGTTGTGCCTTCTCTACTGGTTAGTTGTAACATACCCTAGTCGACTTTTCCTAATGAAATCCCGAGGGAGTCTCTACAAATTGTGAAATCCCTGGGGAGTCCGTTACGAGACTCCCCGGGAGTTAATCAAAAACCCAGCAAATCTGCTGGAGGGAGTTTTTTGGGAGTTTTTGAAAATTCCTAGGGACTCCCAGGATGATCATTTGAGGAGTTCCTTGGAATTTTCAAAAACTCCCAAAAAACTCCCTCCAGCAGATTTGCTGGGTTTTTTATTAACTCCCGAGGAGTCCCGCAACGGACTCCCGGGGAGTCCCGTAACGAACTTCCCAGGGATTTTACAATTTGTAGGAACTCCCTGGGGATTTCATTAGGGAAAGTCGACTAGGGTAGTCGTATAAATTAAGTTGAAGGCTTTAGCGACATCTATTTCTCTTTAGTTTTCACAATCAAGAGATTAGTATCGATATTCAAATAAAATATGAATTATATGTTGAGAATTAATAATGAAAAATTCTATTATTACTCTAAAGTTTTTGTCATAAGTATTGTTACTATAGTTTCGTTAGCTACAATGGCCACTGTTGTTATTCGTATATCAACTATAAGAAAATTGCCTGTAGTTAGAATAAGAAGATAGATGGCAACTCAAACTCAAGTTTTAAAACGTGGTGCCGTCCAACCGGCACGTCTTCATGATTATCTGTATGGTTAGTTATGAACTTATGTTGATATTTATGAAATTTTCCAACAAATATTGTAATTTTTAGATCCTACATGTACATTATCAGGTGTTCGTGATCATGCTCGAGAAACATTTGCAGCAAAAACGACTACAGAACAATTGGTTTGTAGGCAATCATTATTAAAATTTATACAAATAGGTTTTTTTTTTAGCAAGCTGTACCTGTCTATGAACATTTATTCAGTGATTTACGTCAATATCCTCGTTTTGCTTATCGAATTCAATCTCGAGATCCTGTTCCAGTACATGTCAATCGACAATGGTTAGGACAAGCAGATGCTCATCGTGAACAAATTGCTCTATCTCGACTGTAAACTTGTTTTTTTATTCTATGTATGTATTTGATTTTCTAATATTTAGTTTTACGGGTAATGAAGCATTTGTTGTTCCACCACGAACATATGAACATGTTGATGTCGGAGGTCGTGAACGTGCAAAATTCTTTCGTAAACCACTTGTACCTTTTATGGAAAATATTCAACCACTAGTTGTACTTGATACTGGTCGTTCGACAACAGGTACTTTTGGAGAATCTGCAATAAAACCTGTTCCAGGACATCTGGTTAGTTCAACAAAATCAGCTATTCCATCAGGACAACCAACAACAAAAACACAAGCTATTCAAACTGATTATATGGAACGTGAAGCTCAAACAGATCCTTATACACCTGAATATGTTGTTAAACCAGGTGAACAACCTGAAGTATTAACATTAGCTACTCTTATGTATAGTATGTTTCTTTTTTATTTTCAAATACTTGTTAATATTGATTTATTCTAGAGAAAGGTCTTCCAGCTGGTCTTGCAGAAGTAGAAATGATTGAACGTAAGTTTAATAAACTTTGAATATTTGAAAAAAAAAAGATTTTTTTTGTTGTTGTTGTTCAGGTGCACGTGCTAAACGTCAATGGGAAGCAAGTTTACCACCACTTGATGATCCTCAACAATGGGAAAAACGATTTAAAATGATGAGTGATATGGAAAGACATGAATGGCTTTTAAGAGAAAATGAAATTGAAAAGTAAAACATTATTTTTATTTTTTTGAACTTTCATTTTGCATATTGACTTCATCATTATTCTTTTTTTGGTAATAGATTACAAAATCTTCGTATAGAATTATTAGAAAAAATGTTGAAAGATAATGAAGCTAGTCGATATGATACATCAATTGAACGTATTAATCGACAATGGAGTAAAAAACAAATTGAACGTGAAGAATTTGTTAAAAATAATCGACTTCATTATTTACGAGGTAAAATTTTTATATAATTACATATGAAAATAAATAAGTAAAATTTTTTTTCTTGTTTTTATAAAGCTATTCGAGCTTTACTTCGAAAACGATCACAAATTGAAACAAAATATGTTAAAAATGATATTATTCGTTCATATACAAAATATGATTCAACAGCTTATGGTCCATTAACACGAAATGGTTATTTTCCAGATAAACTTACAGATAAATATTTAGTTAAAAGTCGATTTTTGGATACATATACGGGTTTACTTGAACTTGAATCAACATTACCATCAAATGCATTAAAAATTCGACTTCCAGCACCGAAACGAATTAGTTCAACTAAAGATGGACATCTTAAACGACAATTTCGACGTGAAAGAGATTTAAATAATATTTTTAAGGTTAAAATTTTTATAATATTATTGATTCTAATCTATAGTTTATAGTCATTCAAACAAATTTATTAACGTATCGATTAATTTTCATTTAGAAAAATCAAAAATGATTTTTTTTTTTTTCTTCACTAAGGAATGAATCTCTTCAGTTTTGTTTTTACTCATAGATTCTACATAATGTTCGAACAATAACCTTAAAAAGATTTGTGGATTTGACTAAAACTATCGAATTTTTTTTTTTCTAGAAACCTCTAATTTTTGAAAAACTCAAAATTCAGATTTTGTTATAAAAACTTTGTGCATATAGAGAACTCAAGTTTAATAGTTTTTTTTTTCAAAAAAAAAATTCAGAATTTTTCAATTAAGTTTTTGATACTTTTAAGATCTCGACCATTTTTTCATCGGTCGTGAATACAACATGCACTTTTTGAAAGCTTCATATTTTGAAGAGAGTTTTTTTAAACTCGGTATATAAATTAAAAAAGCTCGATATGACTATAAACTTTTGAGCACATATTTAATTCATTGGTAGAAGAATTAAAGATTAGAATAATTTCTAAAAGACTCATGTTGACTTGAAGACTTGACTGAAATATTTGAAATGAATACAGAATCGAGTTCTAAAATAGGATTATTACTTCATCTATCCTTCCTATTGGCATTACTTTTTGTTTTGAATTAATGATCAGTTTTCTGGGCAAGAATT